TATATTATATATATGCCGTCTGCAGGCATGTAGGGAGCACTGGCCTCACAATCTCCCCTGTGGGGGAAACTAACTTCCTGCAATCAAAATAGTAAGTAATGTATGTAGTGTCCTGTGCTGACGACATACAGCATCCTAGGGGTACCGCAACCACCACAAGGGCATGAGTCCGTCTCATTCCGCCACTACTGACTTCACATGCATGCAAGATAGCGGCCTGCATGTGCGTCCGCTGCCGCTTCTCCCAAGCGCACTTCCTGCACGAAAACACATACAACAAAATGGGAGTGTCTCAACCATCTACTTGACACAGATATTTTGTCGGATGAAGCACGCTCATGTCATGTATCCTCCAGGAGACAATGCCTCACAACATCGGGGAACAGTTAACCCGCTCAGTGCTTCCCAGAACACAACTGGGACCCCCATAGCTGGAGATTGCTCCATCAACAACACTGAAGACTGGCACTTGTGGCATTACTCCTCTGCAGCTTTCGGAAGACCTCCATTTGACAGTGCGTAGCCTCATTTGTCACTGAGCTGTGGGTGGTCCACTGCAGTGTCTCTACACTTACCGCATCACTGCCAGCAGCAACTCCGCAACAAATCACTGTGTGAAGAGGCAGAGGGATAGGTGTTCAAAACAAACCTCGTTGTTGTTTAGCTGCAGCGTGAGGTCTTATTAGCCCCCCTAGACTGAAACTCAGGCAAAAGCAGCTGGACACCGGTCTAACCGCAGGTTCGGTGAGTTTGCAAAACCTCTGGTGAGTGGCTGATGCGTGTAACATTAGCTCACAGGCGTGTCTTCTTCTGAAGACGAGAAATCCCTTCCTTCTGGCCCCTTCGGAGGTGCAGAGAGCAACTTGTCGGAGCCGACGAAAAGCAGCGCAGCGGCAGTCAAGGCGAACACGCCCCACGTTAGAGACAGCAAGGCTCTTTTTCTGCGTCTGCGATGCGCCGCTACTTTGTCTATGTTGCAAGAATCGAACGGCATCATCATCTCCTCAGGTGAACGGGGAGCAGCATGACCACCAGTGGGCATTGTCGACCAGCGCTCCTCCACAGGAAGCTCGGCAGGTAGCCCGTTCATCATTCCCACTTCTACGGCACAAGCAACCGCCTCCAAACCCAAAACTGCAAGCCAAAACAACCGGAGCATCGTCGGTGAAGTGCAACGCAAGCCCAGTGGCCTGCCCGCTGGACACGTGGTGACCTTGCTCGGTCTGTCGTCGTGAAGGGCCTCTCGACGCACGTTAGGCCAATTTGCTACGTAGAGGGAGCCCAAGGAATCCAAACGAATGAAAAGGACAAAAATGCATAGTAGATGATGTCTGTATCAGCAAGACTGCATCTGCACCACGGGCTGTCGGTGCTCCTCCATTCCTTGACTGTCCAAGCACCATCGAAAAGCGCCCTGGGGCTTTCGCTGCCTGCAGTCGCTGCAATCAGCAATCGGAAATAGGTCAAAGTATCATATCACTTTCTGCCAATTGTATTCTACACTGTGTCCCTTCAAAGCTTGATCTTGGTCAAAACTCAGCAAAAACCACAGGATTGCCGCCCCCACAGAGAGTAGTCGTCGCTCATGGTGAGCGACTCACTGACGGTGCGTGAGCAGTCTCTGCTGCTGCTAACTTCTTCCATCAAAAAGCGAAATAAATACTGCTCGACTTAAACAATTATAGCTAAACCAACCCTCCACTGCCCCTCGTAGCAGTCGGCACTAGCACAAGCTGTACCCTCCCCGACTTCCGCTCACCTAACCCTAACCCTACAACCATACGACGATCTAGACACTGTCTGCTTCAGATACAGATGTAATCGGCACACACTAAACACTAAACCCTAACCTGCAGACGCTTGCCTGCACGGAAAACCCCGTCTCAACTGCCTCCTCCAAGCCCGGCTCCTTCGGCCTCCACAGGGGTTCCCCTGTGTGGAGTGCAACGGGCTGTCGACGCAGCTCAAGAAAGGCGCCAGTGTACCCCTAACCAGCAAGCTGAACGCATTAATATCTGCTTGTCTCCTCCTCCGCAGCCTCTTGAGCGGAGGGGTCCCCTGTAAACCCTGCCATTATTGCCCTATTCCCCCATGAAAGGCCCTTACTGTACCTCGCATCAGCAGCAAAAGCTGCTGCTACTGCAGCTGCTGCCGCTCTTCTCAGGCCTTATATACCCCCCGCCCCTACCCGGCCCTTTCAGCACACCCTTCCCAACTCCATTGCAGTGAAGAGAGCCAGAGGCCAAAGTTTGCGGATGCAGCAGCTAGCCAAGAGCGGCCAGCCCGAGTATTCCAGCTAGCCGACTGCGAAAAGAGGGCTGGCGTCCTCAAAACGAACCATAGCTAGCCAGCTAGCTACCTGACTGCAGGGTGGCGCCTTTGCATCTGGCGCAAGCGCTCCCCTGCCGGCTGCTACCGAGTTACCGAGCTAGCTAGCCAGCTAGCTAGCTACGTAGCTAGTTGGGCAACTACGTCGCTAGCTAGCTGGACGGGCTGTGGTGAAGTGTGGCCCGCCACAATATGCCAAAGAGCAGAAGGTGTTTCCCGGTGCTGCTCAGCAGCGGCTTGGTGCGCAGGTGTCTACATGCTGCAGGAGAAGCTGCACAGCAACGGCAACAGCTGCTCCTGCTGTTGCTGTAGCAGGAGCAGGTCCATACAATATCTTACAACTCGTCGTGCTGCAGGTCGTCCTCCTCTCCCGGGCCGGCGCTGATGCCCTTGAAGGGGAGATCGATGCCTTCGTATTCTTCAGGGAAGCGGAGGAGTTCTCCGTTGTCTGTCAGCATGGAGACAGCGAATGTTTCGAACTTCTCGGTCCACTGGTCCTTTGTGATCTTCCCGTCCTCCATCTCCGCCATAAGTGTCTCCATCATCTGCTGCAAGTCGTGTGCATGCGGATCTTGAATAACAGCACGCAACTCTGCCTCGTCTATCTTTTTATCTCCGTCTTTGTCGTAAGAAGAAAACTCGCGAGTTAATTCCTCCCGTTCGGGCTCAGTTAATGTACCTACACCCCAACAACATATATATACTAGCAACTATAGTAAAAAATAGCAATATAGTAACCCGCAAGTATGTCTACTAGCTATCTTTGCCATTGTAACATACATTACTTATACATAGTAGAACTTTTTTACTATTACGGTCATAACTGACATCTAACTAACAAATGCATAGATTTCTCACACGAATGCACGGCCTATACGGCAGCTATGGCTGCTGTTGCTGCTGCTGCTGCTGCAGGTGGTGCTACGGCTCACCACCCTCATTCTGAAGGAACTCCTCCAATGAGATGCTACCGTCCTTGTCCTTGTCTTGCGCCTGACCATGACATGCGACAAAAACACGGAGCACACAACTTCAAACCCCAAACCCTAAACCCTACGCCCTAAACTCTGCAAGCAGCCGAAACCCTCAACTCACCGCCATAATCTCATCTACTTCAATTTGCATCAGCACTTCGTCCTTCCCTGGATCCATAAGGATGGTGACCTCATCAAGGCTCAAATTGCCACCTGCACGTACCCTCCAAACCTTAAACACCAATCTCTTAAACCCAACCCCCAAAGCCTGAACCCTACGCTGCAAAAGACAGCTCATGCGCTTCGCTTACTTTGGTCCTTGTCCACAGCGGCGAACCTCTTCTTTACATCTTCCTGCGAGCAGACATGACGAGTCGAAGAGCACGCGCGAGCGCTCAAGCCCCAGCCATCGCCACAAACGCTAAACCATACACCCCAAAATCTGGAGGTTGGGTACCATCCTAACCCGAAGAAACATAGTACAGACAGAGTAAGAAAACCTCCAGTTGCATACCTTGTGCGCCTCCTGACTGGCGGGGTCGCTGCCGTCTGTGTACGTCACCTCAAGTTCTTCCAATGTAATTTTTCCGTCGTTATCTTTGTCAATTGAAATGAACTCCTGCTTAACCTGGTGCTTGTGCATAGCTTCCTTAAGGCGCGTACTCCACGCCTGCGCCTCCTCTGCTGTAATCTGCCCGTCTGCGTTCGTGTCTACCATAGAAAAGATAATTCCCATTCTGTTTTTTATTTCTGTCAAACTAAGCTGCATCAACTCTGCCAATTTTTCCCCAGAAAGCTTTGGGCTCGCGTCGGGTGAACCGACAGCTCCTCCAGACACCGCAGCTGCCACCGCAGCGGCCGCCAGAGACGCAGAAACCTTCATTTTCACAAAATGACGAATATTTCTCAATAAACAAACACTACTTCCTAATTTATAAACAAAAAACACAAATGCTATGCAGAAACTCTCCCATTCAGACCCTCCTGCTCAGCCGCCAGGCGAGACAGCGCACAGAGCGCAAGAGTTTCGTCACAAGCCCCGACCCGGGCCCTAAAGCGTTGGCTGAAAACCCTAAAGCCAAAACCCTAAACCCTAATGCCCTTTTTAAATAAGGGTTATTTACGACGCAGACATAGAGAGGTCTCCTAAATCGGCAGTAAAACCCCTGCTGCACCTCAGCAGCACCAGCTGCCTCTACTACTCCTTCGCCTGTTTTGCTGCAGCTGTCTGTACAGCTGGCCTCTGCCTTGCGGCAAGCCCTAAGCCCCAGGCCCTGGCCGCTAAACCATTAGACCTATACTATAGCCGTTAAACCCTAAACCCCACGGAAGACCCCAACCACCTGTTGATGGGCCTCTAGACTGCCACGCAAATTCTAACGATAAACCCTAAGCCCAATACACTAACAACTGGTGGCGCCGACGCATCCGGCGGTTTAACTCTCTGTCTTCGTTATTAGAAGTGAGGGGGTTAGGGTCTAAACGGGAGGGCCTAGGGAGTACTGTTGGAGCCTGCTATCAGGGTTTAGGGTTTAGGGATGCAGGCGCATCCGCTGCCCCTCGGTCGCAGGGCGCAGCTACTTAGGCCGCGAGCCCTCTGGCAGAGGCCCGATCTATTGCCGTTTGCTGCTGCTGCGCTGCTCCTGCTGGTCCTCGCTATTGGGGAGCATGAGGCAGCAGACCAGGCAGCAGCAGCTGCGGCTGCTTCTGCAGCTGCTGCAGCTTCTGTTCCAGCAGCAGCAGAGGTAGTTAACCGAGGTGCTACAGCACCTGCTGCAGTAGTTCCGCCACCAGCAGCAGCGGCACGCCCAGCAGTGGCAGTTCCAGCAGAAGAAGCAGCACCGGAGGTAGTCAACCTGACTGCAGCAACACCAGCTATTGCAGCGACAGAAACAGAGCTTCTTTCGGACGTTTCCGCTGCTGCGTCAAGAGACCCAGCCTTCGCCAGTGCTGCAGTTTCACCATTGGCAGTAGCAGCAACAGCAACCACTGCAGAAGAAGCACCCACTGCTGCAGAAGAACAGGACGATGAGGAGGTGCTGCCATGGTTGCTGCAGACGAGGAGCTCCGTTTTGCTGCTGCTGCTGCTTCTGGCGTGGGGTGGTTTGCTTCTGGCTAGCTGCTGGGTGCTGCGGCTGCAGCGGTGGAAAGATTACAATGTGTGCACTGCAACAGCAGCAGCCGCAGCAGCAAAAGGTGGTGCAGCAGCAGCAGCAGCAACGCATGTGTTTGTTACTGCAGGGGCAGAAGACAAAGAGGACTTCCTGGTGCCTCTCGAGTTGCTGCCTCGGCGGCCTGCGGCAGCTGCTGCAGCTAATGCATCAGCTGCAGGAAAGCGACCGCATCGCTCCAGTACCAAAAGCATGCATCAGCAGCAGCAACCACAGCAGCAGCAATATGAACTGCTGATAACACTCAAGGGGCAGCGCTATTTGTATGACTTAGAGAGAGAAGATTTCTTTCCTGTTGAGGCTCCGCAGCACTTGCCGCTGCGCTGCTACTTAGGGTGGACGGGTCTTACTGAGGGCTCTGCAGCAGCACCACCAGCAGCAGCAGGAGGAAACATGGATAAGTTCGTGGGAGATGCGCAGCTGCGGTTTGGCCGCAACTGCTGCGAGGTGCCGGTGCCACCGTTTGCTGCGCTGCTCCAGAAGCAGCTGGTATCGCCTTTCTTTTGCTTCCAAACTGCCTGTGTTTGTCTTTGGCTGCTTGATGGATATTGGGGCTTTCCATTGTCCACACTCTTCCTCTTAATCGTCGTAGAGGCACAGGTCTGCTGCTGCAGGTGCTGCACTTGTTGCTCTCACTCCGTCTTCTGGCTTTGCTAGTGCTACTCAATGTTCTGCTGTTGCAGCAGCGTACCCTCCACATCGGTGTTGCTGTTGTTGCTGCTGCTGCTGCTGTCCGCATACATTGGCGTATGCGCCCTCTTCTTCTTCTGCTGCAGACGGCCTTCAAACATCGGAGGGAGTTGCTGAGAGTTCGACAGATGCAGCCCGTGCCGCCTCGGGTGTACGTACACCGCAAACACTGCAACAGCACCGGCGGCAGCACGTGCTCGTGGCAGCTCATTAAAGCCGCAGAGCTGCTACCTGGCGACGTCTTTTGCTGGGACTTGCAGCGCAGCAGCCACAACGGCAGCGCGAACAACAACAATAACAACAACAACAACAACAACAACAACAACAACAACAACAACAACAACAACAACAACAACAACAACAACAGCTCGCCACTGTTAGCGCCGGTGGACGGGTTGCTGCTGCAGGGCACCGCAGTGATCGATGAGTCATTACTAACAGGTGCAAACACTCCCAAGCCCTAAACCCTTGTTTTTTCCTCCCCGTCGCGCCGCTGCGCTGCCTTTCATGCCCCTGCATTTGTGCGTTGCAGCGCATGCTGCCGTTTACACGCACTTGCTGCTGCTCCCGCTGCTGTTGCTGCTGCTGCAGGCGAGGCTATTCCCCAGGCAAAGGCGGCTTTGTCACTAACTGCTGCTGAGGCAGGTGCTCTGGAGGAGCGCCTCGATTTGCAGGGCCAACACAAGCAGTTTTCCTTCTGTGCAGGTGGGTAAAACCCTAGTTTCTTTAAAACCCTAAACCCTCTAACAAAACCCTAGGCATGGTCCGCTTCAGCATGGGCAGCTGTCGGGTGCTGTTTCAAGCTGTTGCTGGCTGCAGCTAGATGTAGCTAGTTGCCTCTAGCAGCCGCGTCTAGCTTCAGTTCGTTGCTTTCCGTTGCCCGTTCTTTGGGGTTGGCTTTAGCTAGCGGCATCAAGCTACTGGCTAGTTGCTGTGGGTCCGTTTCTATGCAGGGACATCTCTGTTGGCAGCAGAAAATGAAGGAGCTGTCGGCCTTGGCTGCTGCAAATTGCCCAACGCCGCACCCGTCGCCCTCACTGTACGCACAGGCTTCGCCACCACGGAGGTTAGCTCGAGGGTTTAGGGTTTGGGGATTCTGGGGCTTAGGTTTCCGAAGTTCGGTTTTCGGGTGTAGCGAGGAGGCTGATCCCACGATTTCGCTTGTTTGGCCGTGGTGGCGGGTTTAGGGTTTAGGTTTTATATCTCAGTGCGGGTTTAGGGTTTAGGGTTTACAAATGCGAGAGAACCTGTGTGCTGCTGCTGCTGCAGGGTCAGCTGCTGCGCACACTCATGGAGACAACGAAGGCACCTCATTCGACTACTCGGGAGGGGTGGTTGTTTTTGTTTGTTTTGCTTCTGCTTGCGCTTTGCTGCTGCTGCTTTGTAACATGCACATCTCCGGTGTCTCCTTTCTCCTACTACTACAATACGCTGCCTCCCCTGCTGCAGTTTATGCAGCCTTCTGCGGAGCAACTGCAGCAGGAGCTGGAGCAGCTGAAGCAGCAGTTCCCACGCCGCAAGCCCTCAACGTGGCGCCTGCTGCTGTCTCTCTCCCACATTATTACCTCCGTTGTCCCCCCTGAGTTTCCTATGCTGCTATCTTTAACCCTTACTGTTGGTGTTCTCCACCTTGCAAAGACAGGCATCTGCTGCACAGACACCCTCAAGTATGCTGTTGTTGCTGCTGCTGCAAGCTGGTTGTTTGTTGCCTCTGCTTCCTTCTTTTGCTTATGTCCATTGCTGCTGGGGTTGGTTGCTGTGTCTGTTTGCGGTGGAGGGACTGCAGTTGTCCTAAAAGGTTTACCGGCTGCTCCTGTCTGTCCTGCTGCTGCTACTGCAGGCTTGCTGCTGCCGGTGGAGTGCGCGTTGCTGCATTTGATAAGACGGGGACCCTCACTTACCACAAGTACAATCTCCTGGGCGTCTTTGGGGTTGGCAACAAACCTCGAGACCTCGACAAGCTGCAGCAGGAGCCGCAGCGGCAGGAGCAGCAGCAACAACAGCAACGGCAGCAACAGCAGGCGCAAAAAAACGTGCCAGACTCGGTTTCGAGCTGCAGACCCTCCCTGCTCCAGCAACAGGCACGTTCTCCTGGCAGCACCATCAACTGCCAACTGCCAGAAGCAGCAGCAGCTGTGGTTGCTGGGCAGTAGAATTTTAGCTTGCACAGTGCCATTTAGCGTTTAGGGTTGTAGGGGTGTTTTCCGCGTGTAGCGCCTACTGGCAAGAGGCGCCTTGCGTTGGGTTGCCGCTGTTGCTGCTGCTCCCATTGCTGACCGCTGCTGTTGCTGCTGCTCCTGCAGGAGCTGCCGCTGCTGACGGCATTAGCTGTTGGTTCTTGCCACTGCCTGCGACCAGACAGCAACGGTGCACCAGTAGGAGATCCCCTCGAGCTCGAGGCCTTTAAGAGCTTTGGCTGGAAGTTGCCCTCTCAACGATCTGCCGTGCTGCGCAGTCCGTGCTGCTGTTGCTGCTGTTGCTGTTGCTTGGATTGGTGCAGCTGCCAGCATGCCCATGGTAGCGCAGCTGTTGCTGTCGCTCCAGTTGGGGCTGCTCTAAGAAGCTGCGTTGGATTGCTCAGTCAAGTTCACGTGGCTGCTGATTTTGCTGGTGTTGTTTCTGCTGCAGGGGAGATGGGAGATGCTGTTGCGCAGCTGTCTCTGCTTTTGTGCTTCCCCTTCACATCAAATCTGCAGCGCACAACGTCAGTGGCGGAGTACACCGTAACGACGGACGTGTGGTGCGGGGCCCAGCAGCAGCGGGAGCAGCAAGAACAGCAGCAGGATAAGGAAAAGCAGCAAGAGCTACGGCAGCTGCTGCAGCGGAAGCAGAAAGGGTTTATTGTTGCTGTTAAAGGGGCCCCTGAGAGATTAAAGCAGTTCCTTGGTAGCGTTCCCCCTTTCTACGACTCCATGGCGGATGAGCTCACAGGCAGAGTGCGCCCTGCTGCTGTTGCTGTTGCTGCTTAGCGGTGCTGCAGCTGTACTTTTGGCTGTTTCTGTTGTTGTTTGCCGTTGTTTTGCCCTCGTCGTAGTGAGACTCTTGACGTCTTGTGCAGTTGTCTACTGCTTTTGCTGGTGCTGCTATGACCGATGCTGCTTTTGCTCTTGCTGCTTTTGCCACTGCTGCAGGGGCTTCGGGTTTTAGCAGTGGCTGCTCGTCTATGTACGACTAACCCGCAGTCTCTCCCTCGCGAGGCGCTAGAGAGGGATTTGGTCTTTTGTGGGTTTTTATCGTTTGTTGCTGCTGTCAAGCCGGGGGTGCAGCAGCAGCTGCAGTTGCTGCGGTGCAGCGGACAGCAGGTTGTCATGCTTACCGGAGATCATGCCCTCACAGCTGCGGCTGTTGCTGCAGATGTTGGCATCATACACCACCCAAGCACTTGCGGAGTCCCGAGCTGCTGCGGCTCCAACAGCAACAAAGGCAGCAACAGTAGCAAGGAAGGTACTAGCAGCAGCAGCAGCGACACAGGAAAGCTGCTGCCGCTCTTCCTCAGTCTTGTAAAGGACTCAGAGACGCCTAGGTCTGCCGCCGCCAGTTTGCAGCTGCAGCAATCTCGGGCCCGTCGTACAGCAGCAAAAGAAGCCGGAGACAGCAGCAGCAGCAGCATTGAGTCTAGAGGCAGTGCGGACGAGGTGCTCGAGTGGGTCTCAGCAGATCACAGCGTGCGGCTGCCGTTTGCTGCTGCTCTGAGCCCCCATCCGTCTACTGAGCATGCATTTTGCGTGTGCGGCACAGTGCTGCAGCAGCTGCAACAGCAGAAGCAACAGCAATGGAAGCTGCAGCAGCAGAGGGAACCGCAGCAGCAGGAGGGTACTGGGGACGCACGTGTGCGTAGGGAAGAGGAGCTTGAACTGCAGCAGGTGCAGCGACAGCAGCAGCAGGAAGAGCAGCAGGAGGCGCAGCAGCTGCTGCTACGGCGGCTTGTACACCATGTGCGTGTCTTTGCTCGGCTGTCCCCTCAAGACAAGCAGCAAGTTGTTAAGGCATTTGCTGCCGAAGGTTTTCCTGTATTGATGTGTGGAGATGGAGCAAACGACATTGGGGCCCTTAAGACTGCTGCAGTTGGGGTGTCTGTGTTGTCGAGTTCTCCTTGTGCTGCTGTTACAGCAGCAGCAGCAGCATCTTCTGCAGCGCTTCCCGGTGGTGTTAATGGCGGGGGCTGCAGTCTCTCTCCTCTGCAGCAGCTTCAACAGCAGCAGCAGCAGCAGCAGTTGTTACTGCACCAGCGCCATAGGCAGCCGATGTCCAGTGCCCAGCAGCAGCAGCAACAATTGCTGTTACAGCAGCAGCTGCAGCAGCAGCGGCAGCAGCTGCTGGAGCGTACCTTAGAGGGTCTAGCCGGGGACAGCACATTGGTTCCCTTAGGATCTGCTTCTGTTGCTGCAGCATTTACATGCAGAGAAAGTGGTATTGCTGTTGTTAGTCGTGTTATAACACAGGGCCGCTGCTGCTTAGCTGCACTGCTGCTGATGCATCGTCTTATTGCCCTTAATTGCAGTGTATCGGCATTCTCTCTTTCTGTTCTTTCTACTGATGGTGTTCGTTTTAGTGATCTACAGGCTGCCATAGAAAGCTGTCTGTCAACAATGCTCACTCTCTGTCTTAGTGCGCCTCCAGATGAGCCCCAACAGCAGCAGCAACAGCAACAGCAGCAGCAGCAGCAGGGGTCTATGGGAGATAAGCCTCCACCCACTTCGGTATTTTCCTTCTGGGGGATTGTCTCCTTGGTCGGGCAGGCAGCGTTGCATGTTTGGTGTCTTGCGAGGGCCTGGGTCTTAGCACGCGCCCTCCGAGACAGCAGCAGCAGCAGCAGCAGCGACGTCAGGAGCAGCAGCAGTGGGGGAGAATATGATGAGGAAGCATTTAAGCCGGATGCAGTGAACACGGCAACATTTTATTTGCTGCTAGCTATGCATATGTCTACTTTCTTAGCAAACTATGAAGGTGCTCCTTGGTCTCGGCCTTTGCTGCAGAATGCTCGCCTAGGCAAGATGCTGCTAAGTGGCTTAGTGCTGCTGCTGGTGCTGCTTCTGCAGCTGCTGCCCTTCCTCAATGAAATACTAGATCTCGTACTCTTCCATGACGCAGACTTCCTGCTGCAGCTGCAGCTACTCGTTGCAGCAGACCTGCTGGGGCCGTGGCTAGTTGCTGCTACATGCAGGAAGGCAGCTACTTTTAGACAGGGCCCCCTCAAACCCCTCGCTCTACAGCAGCAGCAACAGCAGCAGCAGCCGCAGCAGCATGACTAGCACTGCATTCACCTACACTTCTACTAGACCCAGCAGCAGCAGCAACTGCTGCTGCTGCTGTTCCTGTGACTCTCTTTTTGGCCGCCTGCTCTATAAATTCGCTAGACTTGACAACAGTCCGCTGGTCACTTTGCTACCCAAATAGCTTGCAAGCTAGGTAGCTAGATAGCTAGCTGGATAGCCAGCTAAGTATGCAGCTAGTTAGCTGCCCGACTGGCTAGCTAGCGAGCTCGCTATCCGAGTAGCCAGCAAAATAGGCGGCTAGCTAGCTGCAAGGCTCGCTAGTTGAGCAGCTAGCTAGCTGGCGCCGCTTTTTAATTCTTCTCTAGATGCCCATGCAGCTGCCATTTCCATACCACCGATCAGCCACCTAGCTAGCGAGCTAGCTATTTAGCCGGTACGTGACGGGCGTGCCAGCTGGTGGCTAGCCGTAGAGAGCGGCCACAGGGAGAAAAAACCGAAGCACCTGCAGATGTTGCTGCTGCTGCATGCAACTGCACTCAAAAAGTACTTTCGCAGCTGCACCAATTGCTGCAGGAGCAGGAGGAAGTGTGCTTGGTTGGGCTGCAGCAGCCAGCTGCCTTACTAGCAACGTTTGGCGCACATATCGCAGCAGCAGTTGCTGCTGCTATGCCGCTGGTGCTGCTCCTGCCGATGCCGCCGCTGCTGCTACTGCAGCTACGGTGTATCGGCAGCAATGCCAAGAGACTGAGCAGCAAACATATCGTAAAAAGAAGACAACTCTTGCAACTTGCGCGTCTCTTCGCGGACTGCTGCATGCAGCTGCTGCAGCTGCAGCGCCACTTGCTGCAGCCCAGTTCGCTCCTCTCCTCTTGCTGCTGCTGTTGGTGCTGCTGCTGCTGAAGGTGAAGGTCGGTGTCTGGGGCTACCTGCTGCTGCTGGAGAAGTTGCGACGCTCGAGCCTACAGACACCACCGATACAGTTGCTGCGCTGCTGCCCCGCTGCTGCTGCTGCTGCATCTCTTGCAGCAGGTAAATGTCTTTGATTTCCGCTAAAGATACAACGCGAGGAGCTGCTGCTGATCCTGCCACGTCGGCTGCTTCTGAGCGGGCAGCGCGCCTCTCCCCAGGTAAATTCGATGCATGCGCGCTGCTCCTAGGTTTTGCCGCTGTTGCCGCCGCTGTTGCTGCTGCTCCTGCTGGCCTCAGGCCTAACAGAAGCAGCAGGTTGTCTCGGCCTCCTGCGAGTTGCTGCAGCTGCTGCAGCGCAGCAGCAGCAGGCCCCTCCTTGCAGGTGGTCAGCAGCAAATCTGTGGGTTTCTGTTGCTGCTTGCTGCTACTGCTGCTAATGCTGCTGCTGCCTTCCCCAGCTGTGTCTGCTGCAGCATCTTGCTGTACCTGCTGCAGCAGACGCGGCGCACCCTCCCAGAAGGCGCGCAGCTCCTCTACTGCTGCATCATGCAGAACAGCAACAGCAGCACAGAGCAGGCGCAGCTGCTGCTCATTGAGCTGCAGCAGCTGCTGGTCTTGCTGCTTATCCAGCTGCTGCTGCTCTTGCAGCTGCTCTTGCTGCTGTTGTACGGGACCAACTGCATCTCTGGAAGAGATACACTCCGTTGCCGGATCTGCAGCATTCTCTCCTGTTGCTTTTTCCACTGCTCCTTCTCCCTCTGGTGCTGCTGCTGCTGCTCCTGCTGCTGCTTTTGCTGCTGGTTCTGCTTGAAAGTGCACGCATATATCCGAGCCATCCATGCTAAGGAATGGGACGGCCACCCCAGGGGCATGCACTGGTTGCTGCTGCTGCTGCCCTTCTGCTGTTGGTTTGTGCGTGCTGATGCTGCTGTCTGTTGCTGGCCGAGGCGGCAGCGCAGCAAGTTGCTGCAGGGCATCGTGCAGCTCCTGCGGCAGCATCTCGGCTGCAAGTGTTGCAGCTGTTGCTGCCATATGCTGCAGTCCTGCTCGGCACATTGCTGCGCTGCTACTGCTGCTGCCATTGCTGCTGTTGCTGCAGAGGTCGTCGGCTGCGCCGATAATGCCGTTGTAAAGAGTAGTAATCAGGTCTAAAGCAAAGTCGGGTGCTGCTGCTTCAACACGCGCTGCAGATGCTGCTGGGCGTGCCTCTTCACGAGGTGCAGTAGAAGCAACAGCTGCTGCTGCTGCTGCTGTTGCCGCTGCTGCCGCTGCGGCCCCGCCGCCAGAGGGGTCCTGCCCCCGGAGATAGCCGCTCGAAGGGCTCATCGTGAAACACAGGAAACAGACGGAGCAGCAGCAGAAACAGCGCAACAGGCAACAGCGGACATCTGCTGCGAGAATGTCAAGCAGCAGCAGCAGGTCTTGCAGCAGTGGCTATTGCTGCAGTCTGCTGCTGCGGTTGCTGCCGCTTAGATCACCCCCGTCGAGGCCATATGCATGCAGCAATAATGTAAATTTAATTAATTATATAGAAATTCTTCCCTTATCGAGACGGCAAACAGCAGCAACGGCTGTTGCTGCTGCTGCTGTAACGGGGCTGCCTCGAGAGGGGTTGCGGAGGTGGTGATCGTAGTGCTGCCAGCAGCAGCAGCAGCCGCTGCTGCTGCAGCAACAGCAGCAAAACCCCCGATTTAAGCATGCAGACTAACTTAGTGGTTTGCGCTGAACTGTGCTGACACGCACTGTAACAGCAGCAGCAGCAGCAGCAGCATTAACAGCAGCCTTTCGGCTGCACCCGCCGCTTGACGCCTACAGAAAGGGATTGCTGCAGCACAGACAGCCATAACAACTCCACCTGTTGAGTTTGTTGTTGCTGCTGGTGTCGCTGTTTTCTGCGGAGCCAGCAGCAGCAGCAGCAGCGCCACAAGCAGCAGCTGCTGCCACATGCTGCTGCTGCCGATGGAGCCCTTAACAGGGCCTCAAGGTCCTGCAGCGCAGGCAGCAACAGCAGCAGCGACGGCCGCCGACAGATCGTACACTGCGCAGCAGCAACAGCAGCAACAGCAAACACTCAGCCCTCTGCTGACGCCGACTCTGTTGGGTGACCTCCAGCGACAGCAGCAGCGTCAGCAGCAGCAGGAGCAGCAGCACCTCACACTCTCTCCTAAGCAGCCCGTGCAGTGGCACAGAAGCGGCAGCACCGAACAGGTCTATCACCAACAGGTGCAGCAGCGGCAGCAGCAGCTCGTGTTGCGGCAGCAGCAGCAACAACACCACCACCACCACCACCAGCAGTTGCTGCAGCAGCGCCACCAACATCAGCATCCCCACAACCTTCACGAAGAAGTAGAGCGACTGCGGCAACAGTTGGCACAGCAGCAACTTCAGCTGCAGCAGCAACAGCTGCAGCAGCAACAGCTGCAGCAGCAACAGCTGCAGCAGCAACAACAAGACCTGCCGCAACAGCAGCAGCAGCAGCAGCAGCAGCAGCAGCACGTTGTAGCTCGCGACCTGCAGCAACAGCAACAGCAGGAGCAGCAGGAACGGCAGCAGCAGCAGCAGCAGCAGGTACCTGCTGTGCCCCTGTCCGCGTGCTGCCGGGTAGCGGCTCTCCCTTCTGCGGGCAGTCGCAGCTCTACAGGAGCAACAGCAGCAGCAACAGCAGCAGCAACGGCAGCCACAGCACCAGCAACCTGCAGCTGCAGCGGGGTCCCGGCCTGCCCGTGCACAGACCCCTCATGGCACATTCTACCTCACACAGAGGTGCCCCCTGCTGCTGGGCCTGCTGCAGCAGCAGACGCAGCAGCAGCAGCAGCGGCAGCAGCAGACCCAGTAACAGCATCAAGAGGGTGGCCAACCGGCAACTCACAGCAGCACCTGCGCAGCAGCTGCTGCTGCAGCAGCGAGGAGCTGCGGGACTTGGGGCCTTGTGGTGTTGATGGTTGCTGGTGCTCTGCTGCTGCTGCGGCTGCTGCGGCGGCACCAGGAACGGTGTGTATGTACAGTTCACGCCTAAAGGTCCGCATTGCAACGCAGGAGGACTGCAGCAGCAGCAGCAGCAGCAACAGTATTGGATATGCCAAGAGTTTGTGCTTCAGGCTCTTCAAAGACAACGAGGTACTGCTGCTGCTGCTGCTTTTGCAGTCGCTTCGGCTGTTGTTACTGCCGCCGCGTTGAAGGCAAGAGGAGAAACTGGGTGCTAAGATATGCTGTTTCTGCTGCTGCTTTTGCTGCTGCTTTTGCTGCAGGGTCTGAGGGTGGAGTTGAGTGACCCTGAATGTCCGCCCTTTTTATTTAGCTGCAGCATTTCGAGCAGCAGCTTTGCTGCACTGCAGCAGCAGCAGCAGCTGCGTGTAGACTTCAAAGCCTTCGGGTTTCGGGTATATCATCCCCCAACCCTAAACCCTAACTAAGTCTAAACCATAATAAACCTCAAACCCTAAACACTGTTGCTCACGAAGCCTTTGTAGACCGTCCATAAACCCTAATCCTGCATCGAAGCCCTAAACCCTCGTGCTGCAGATGGTGGCATCATCTTATCTTGGCGTTTAGGGTTTAGGGTATGGGCTGTTGCTGTACCTTGCAGGTCGTTGATTTAGTAAAGGAATGCATTGCTGACGCTGCTTCGGAGCCGCTGCAGCAACGGTAAGCAGTGTTGCTGCTGTTTCTGCTGTTATTGTTGTTTTTGTGGCAGTAAATATATATTCGCTCTCCTGCTTCTGCTGCTGCTGCAGGCTTGTTGCAGTGTTGGTATTGTCTCCGGAGGCTGCTGCTGCGCAGGCTGCTGCGGCAGCTGCTGCCGGCTTGGCTGGGTCGTCAACTGTCGCTGCTGCTGCTGCAGCTTCTCTGTCATCTGGGGAAGCGGCCGCAGCAGCTGCTGCTGCTGCTGCAGCGAGGCGTGCCGTTGCAGCAGCAACAGCAGCAGCAGCAACAACAGCAGCAGTAGCCAAAGGGCCTGCTGCAGCAGCAGTGCTGCGGCTAATAGAAACAAATGCCTTTAGGGAATTGGTGCATCTTTACTTTGATTTAAAGGCAGCAAATGCTGCTGAGGTGTATAGGCACCTTACACACCACCTACAGTACTTCCAGGTAACTCCCTGCTGCTGCTGCTGCGGTTGTTGCTGCTGTTGCTGCGATGATGTATAGATAGATGGGCGATACTGCTTGCTGCTGCTGCAGCGCCACTGCGCGACTTTCCGAGGAGCTGCAGCAGACCTTCAACGAGAAAACCGCCAACTGCTGCTGCTGCTGCAGCAGCAGCAGCAGCAAACGTAAGCAATTGTTCTTCCTCACTCCGAGTCAATGCAGCAACATCCAACAGCACCAGCGGCTGTAGTAACAACAGCAACAACAGCGCTAGCAGTTGCTGCAGCACAAAGTTTGTTGCATGCTGAGTGCTGCTATGACTGCAGAGAGGCTTCTCTGCTGCAGCTTGCGCAGCAGCAGCAACAGAATCAGGAAGAAGCAGCAGCTGCTTCAGAGGAGCAGCAGCGGCAACTGCTGCTGCACCACCAGCAGCAACAACAACAGCAGCAGCAGCAGCACGAGGAGCAGTGCCGCCACCTCACCCAGCGGCTTGACAGCGCAGAGCAAAGAGTGCTGCAGGTATGTAGTGGCTGCTGCTGTTGTTGCCGCTGCTGGTGCTGCCGTTGCTGTTGTTGCGATGACTTTGCGTTGCTGCTGGAGCGTGTGTGCGGTTTGCTGCAGCTGGAAGCCACTGCTGCAGAGCAGCAGCAGCAGCTGCATGCGTTGGAGCAGCAGTTGACTGAGGCCCGCGCTGCTGCGGCTGCTGCTGCGGCCACCGAAAGAGCAGCGGAGCAAGCGGCGAGGCAGTCGCAGCAGCAGCAGCAGCAGCAGGCTGAGGAGCTGCAACTTTTGCAGCAACAAATCAGCAGATTGCAGCAGCAGCTAGGTGACGCGCATGCAGCAGCAGAGCATGCAGAGCAGCAGCAGCAGCAGCTGCAGCAAATCAAAGCAGAGCAAGCAGCTCGTGCTGCTGAGGTTGATCATCTACTGCAGCAGCTAGAGCGGGTACTGCTGCAGTTGCGGCTGGTGCTTGTTTTAAGGATTGCCTCTCTTCTTTTTGTTTGCTTGTTTATTCGTCGCTGTCTGTTTACTTGTTTCTCGGCCCTCCATGCTGCATGCAAGCTCCAGCAGAAGCAACAGCAACAGCAGCAGCAGCAACAGCAGCAACAACAACAGCATGTGTGTTGCGTTGTAGGGAAATGAAGTTGTAGCGAAGCTGCAGCAGTCGCTGCGCAGCAGTAAAGCGAAGGCCAAACAAAGTGCTGCTGATGCAGCAGCAGCAACAACGGTCAGCTTATGCTGCAGTAGTAGTAGTAGTAGCTCGTGCTGCTGCTACTGCTGTTGTAGTCCTTGCTGCCAGTTCTGCTGCTGCTTTGTTGCTGATATTCGTTGTACTGCTACTGGTGCAGTAGTTGCTGATGCGTGTTGCTATGCTGCTGCTGTTGCTGCTGTTTTTGCTATACGGTGGGGTGCTGTGCCGCTGTTGCTGTTAGTAGCGCTGGGAATCCTACTGCCGCTGCTGAAAGTGCTTGTTTTGCTTGACCCTGTCGATGCTGCTGCAGGCGATGCACGAAGCTCAGGCAAAGCTTAAGGAAATGGAAGACGCACAGCAGCAGAGGGAGCAGCAGCAGCAACAGCAGCAGCAGCAACAACAACAACAACAGCAACAGCAGCAAATGCTGCAGGCAGAGTGTCAAAACCTTGCATCCCAAGTCCAGAGGCTTCAGGCAGAATTAGAGGCATCGAAAGAAAGTGAGCACACTTGTTTTTGCCGCTTCTGTTGCTATGGCTGCTGCTCAGCTTGCTGCTGCTACGGCATCCGCTATATACCCTGCTGGTGCTGCTTTTTGTGCTGCTGCTGCTGATGCAGTGAATGCACGCCTCAACAAGGAGCTAACATCTCGTCAGCTGCAGCTGTACCTCGACCGCTACTCCATGCCGCAGCAGCAGCAGCAGCAGCAGCAGAAGCACTCAGCAACAGAGGCAAGCTCTGCTGCCTTCACTACTAGTCCCTCCCCAAGCGTGCCTCCATCTCCTCGCCAACAGCCCACGCCTTCAGTGCAGCAGCAGCTGCTGCTTCGGCAGCAGCAGCTTGCAGCAGCAGCAGCAGTTCCAGCAGCAGCAGCAGACTCTACTGCCAAACTGCTGGCTGCGCTGCGGCCGATGCCCGCACCGTGTCGCCGCACTTAGTAGCAGTTGATGCCGCAGCAACTGCTGCACCAACTGCAGCACCAACGGCAGCGGCAACCACAAACCGTACGTTTTAAGAGCTGGCATTTCGTTGCTCCTGCAGTGACTTCCCCGCAGCAGCAGCTGTTGCTGTTGCCACTGCCTGCTATGTTTTCTGTAGCAACAGCTGCGGAACACCTATGTGCTGCTGCTACATCAGTGCGCTGTTGCTCCTGCTGCCGTCAGCCTAGCAATGAATCTCTGCGTGGGTGTCGGTGCACTTCCTGCCTGCCCTAGCAGCAGCTGCTGCTGCTTCTACTGTTGCTGCAGCAAGAAAAAGAGAAAGCTCGGAATACAAATAGTTCGATGGGAGGAAAATGCCACTCAGAGAGCTGCTGCTGCAGTTGCACGGGGGTGTTGCTGCAGCTGTTCGTGCTGCTGCTTCAGTTAGGTGCTGCTGCTGCTGCTGCAACAGCAGCCCCCGGAACCCATGGGGCCAGAAGGGGGGGGAGGGGGGGGCGCCATGTGCGCGTATGCATTGCCTCAGCAGCATATCCTGCTGCTCTAACTGCTGCAGATGCAGCTGCTTCCCCTGTGTTGCTACAGCTGCTGCGGATACTAGGCCTAGTGGATCATCGCATTGAAAAAAGCAGCAGCAACCCGAGAAGCAACAAGCTGCTAGTCGTCCTCCAAGAGCCGCTGCTGCTGTTGCTGCTGCTGCTGCCCTCGACGCCCGCGAAATATAGGGTTGCAGCAGCGCAGCGGCGCAACAGCAGCAGCAAATGAAGTCTGCGGCTGCGCAGTAGGTGTGCTGCTGTTTAAATTAGCTACGTACAAATAAGACCTAGTCCCTCGTCTGCATACATGCATACACCGCAGCAACAATTAGGCTGTACATGCAGCTGCTACCTGCATGCAGGGCACCGCAAACCGTACACTTAAAATGCATGTTCACACACAGATCCGGCAACAGCAGCAGTATTTACCCGATTCTGGACTCCATGAATGCGTCTCCTCCGAGTGCTCGAGCATATATCCTCGTCAAAGGGAGACCCACACCCCAACCAGAAAACAGGGCAGCGCCTGCAGCAGCAACAGCACCTGCAACATTAGCGACACCGCCACTAGCTGCGCCAGCAGCACCGGGCACCAGCAACAGCAGCACCAATAACAACAGCACCACAAGCATCCTCAACTTCACTGACAGCACCAGCAGTAACAGGAGCGCCCGCAACAACAGCGACAGCAGCAGCAGCACACCACCTGTCTGTCTCTTTCCCTCTCTGTCCGTTGGCGCAGCTCGCGTGGAGTACAAAAACTGCCACGCCAATTGCTGTTCCGTCCTGCAAAGGCCGCCTCCACTGTCGCTCACCTGCAGCAGCACCAACAAGAACAAGAGCAGCAGCAGCAGCACATGAACATTGCGACGGAGCGCAGCCGATTGGGGAAATCGAAAGCACCATAGAAATCTCGCTCTTACCAGCAGCAGCAGCAGCCACAGCAGTAGCAACAGCAGCAGACGCACCTTAATAACAATCCCAGAATCCGCAACGGAAATAAGGTGTATATCCACCGGCGGCATATTTGTAAAGTGCGTTTGCTGCTGCTGCTGCTGCTGCTGATGGCTCTGCTGCGGCGGCGGCTGCTGCTGCTGCTGTCTTGTACGCTGGGGATCGACGACACAAGGCAAGTTAAATATACACCTGGTGCGGCGGACAGGCATCGAGTCCCATTCTCGTTCCTGCTGCTCTTGCTGCTGTTGCTGGTTTGCATGCGGCCGGTTTTGCTGCTGCTGCTGCAACTGCTGCTGCAGCTGCTGCTGCACTGTGGCCTCAATGGCATTCTTAATAAGCTCAAAGCAGCCGCTGTAAACGTAGGCTGGCGCACAGCGGACGACTTGGGTGTCTGGGGTGCATGTAAGGCTGGTGCTGCTGCTGCTGCAGCAGGAGCAGTTACTCGTCGCCCCGGGGCACGTGCAAGATCCGCAGCTGCTGCTGATGCTGGTGCCGTTGTTGCTGCGTTTGCTGTTGTTGCTACGTTTGCTGCTGTTGCCGTTGCACCTGCTGGTGCTGCTGCTGTTGCTGTTGCTGTTGCTGCTGCAGCAGCAGACGGAGGACTGGAAGACACGAATAGCAGGAGCAACGCCAAGACTGCTGCGGGCTAGCCCTTGGGCGTTTGCTGCTGCTCGTCGTACAAGAGACTCCACTACACACGGCTGCAGCGCAGCTCCCGTGGGGTTCCCTTTAGCAGCACAAACGAAAGGAGCAGCAGCAAGCCATAATCAGCAGCAACACCAAAACAGCAGCAACAGCAGCAGCAATCGCAGCAACAGCAGCAGCAGCTTACATCCTTCAAGAGCTCCAATGCACCTTTCCCTCAGCATTTCTGCTGCAACACGACCACTAAAAAATGCCTCCAAAAATTTGTCACAAACAGCCAGCAGCGCAGCCTGCTGCTTCCTACTCGGCTCCTGCAGAGGGGCCCCTGTGGGCCCACCAAACCCTCCAGAGGGGCTCCCCAGGGGCCCCTGTGGGGAGTCCCCTCCTCCAGACTCTCCACAAGAGGTCCCTGGTGGTCGCCCTCCACCCCCGGAAGATCCTCTAGGGGGCCCCCCACACGAGGGGCCCCGTAGAGAGCCTCCTGCTAGGGGCCCTATAAAGTCGCGTATACCTCGCATAAGTTTACCCACCAAGCGGGATTGCTGCTGACGCAGCTGCAGCAGGGCAAGCCTTAAGGTTTCTTTATCAGGAATAGCTGCTACATGTGAATTATCTGCTGCTCCTGTTGCTTGTGCTACTGGTGGTTGTGCTGCTGTTGCTGCTCCTGTTTTCGGCCCGGTTTCTGATGCTGCTCCTGCCCCTGCTCCATCAGACACTGGCTGTTGCTGCTGCTGCTGGGGCTTGAAGAGCTGCTGCAGCAGCTGCAGGCTCTCCGCATATATTTGTGCTGCTTCTTGCAGCCCCGTGCAGTGTCTGTACACCTCAGGCTGCAGCAGCGCGAGTGCATGCAGCTGTTGCTGCCGCTGCTTGTACATGGAGGGGAGAGATTGCATTGCTTGTGCCACCGCTGCTTCTACCTGCTGCTCCTGCTGCTGCTGCTCAGGTATGAGGGGCTCAAGCAGCAGCGGCGGGCTTTGAGGGAATAAAGCAGCAGCAACTTCAGCATCTAACGAGGTGCAAATTGCTGCGCTACTGCTGCTGCTGCTGCAGACGGTGTCTACGGACGGAAGAGCCCACCATGCAGCAGCAAATTGCTGCAGCTGCGCTGCTGCAGCACCGGCAGCTGCTGCTTCTGCTGCGCTGGTGTTGCTGCTGCTCTCGGACGGCAGCTCGCTGCCCCTAAGCCGCCGCTCACTGGCACGCACTGTAGCAGCGAAGGAAGCAGAGGCCCCTCGTTGTCTGCTGCAGAAGCTGCTGATGTTGTTGCTGCTGCTGCTGCCGCCAGGCAACCCCCTCAAACATGAGGGAGACGCTGCTGATGCGACTCGTGCAGCAGACGCTGCAGCAGTGAGTTGGCCAAATGATTCACTACCATCTACCCTGTTACTGCTGCTGCTGCTCAAAGCATTGTTGTTGCTGTTGCTGCTGCTGCTGCTGTTGCTGCTGCTGTCGTTGTCTTTCTTGCGGCTGCTGCAACCGGAGGGAACTGCTGCCGTTGGTGCAGCTGCAGAATCTCCCGCTGAAGAAGAGACCAGTGGAGACACACCGTTGCTGCCGCTCCTGTCGCTTCTGCCCGTGTGGTTGCTGCTGCAGCTGCTGTTTCTCCTTCTGTTGCTGTCTCTGCTGCTGCTGCGTTGAAGTCGCAACGGAGCGAAGGGAGCCACAGCAGCAGCCGACGAAGCCCGAAGCAGCAGAGTCGGAGGGGTCGCTGCTGCTGCTGCTGCTGCTGCTACTGCTGCCCCATTTGCTGTTGGGTCCGTTGACGCTGTCGCTGCGGTCGCCGCTGTCCCTGAAGATACAACAGCAGCAACCATCATGGCCGATGCTGCTGCAGCTGCTGCTGCTCTTGCTGCTGCTACTAGGGTTTGCTGTTGCAGTGCAGCCGCAGGTGGTCCACAATCAACAAGCCAGCTGCCAGACAGGTGGTGTGCTGCTGCTGCTGTTGCTGCTGAGGCTGCTGCAACTGATGCTGCTTCTGAAAGTGCAACAGCCCTTAAGGCTGCCTGGTTTCCTGGGTAGGCGTTGTAGGGTACTGCTGTACCAGCAGCTGCTGCTGTTGGCGCCGTTCGCTGCAGCTGCTGCTGCTGCAGCAGTTGGTTCTGCTGCTGCTGCTAGAGGAATTGCTCTGATTGCCACCCCGGTTTGCAGCAGGGGTGCTGCTGCTGGCTGCTGCGAGCTGCTCCTGTCATTTTGAGGGTGCCAGAGCAGCAGCAGCAGTGACAAAGACAACTTCTACTGGAAGTCTTCTAACAAAAGAATAATAAGAGAAGAAAACGAAGGCGATCTGCTACAAAGGCTTTGTTGCTGCTGGTCTTCTTGGCCAGTTGCTGCAGCATGAGCTGCTGCTGGTGCTGCTGTTGCTGCTCCGAGCGATCCAGTGACCACGACGCAGAGGCTGCTGCTGCTCCTGCTGTTGCTGCTAATGTTGGTGATGTTCTTGCGGCTGCCGCTCTAGCAACAGCAGCAACAGTACGATCCTTTATCCCTCCTCACACGATTCTTCTAAAGGAATGGAACATAAACCCTAAACGGTACACCCTAAACCCTACTAGACTCGGGGCTGCCTGCAGCAGCAGCAGCAGCGGAGAAACACTCAACCTGCGCCTCTGCTGCTGCTAAAATAAGATTTATTTTTTATATTATTTTTCCTCTCTTTTAGGAGTGTGTACACTCGAGGCTACATCCATCCGCTGCCTGCCGCTGCAACAGCAGCAGCAGCAGCAACAGCAACAGCACGGATTGAAATTCCAGGGATCGGCTACATCAGCACGGCATATCAGTCGTAGGTCTGCTGCATCAGGTGCAGTAGCCGCAGCAGCTACGTCAACAACCGCCACCAACAGCAGCGGCTGCATGCGTCAGCTCTAGAACAGCAGCTTCTGCAGCAGCGACAGCAGCAACACCACCACCACCACAATCAGCAGCACCACAAGCGGCAGCAGCAAAATAACGAGGAGCAACCGAAGCATCACTATCACCTCCATCGTCATCATATGCAGCACCACGACCACCACAACAATCCCCTGCAGCAGCAGGAGCAGCAGCAGCAATGTTCCGCCTATCAGCGTATCGTTTCTCTTTTTTCCGTAGTGGTTACAGCCGTATAAGTGCAGCAGCAGCAGCTGAGAACCGTCTGCATACATTTTTCGTCTCCTTAATGTTTTTGCTGCCCTCTCTATATGTGTATACGGCAGGAAGTCCTTCGCTGCTACAGTGGTGCATGCACCGCTTCCGTTGGGTAGAAGTACCCCCACAGGCAGATCCTAGTATCTTTAAACACTCATATAAACAGCCACGTGGAGGGGACACAGCTAGCTAGCGAGCTAGCTGGGTAGCTAGCTGGGAGGCAAACTAGCGGGCCAGGTGGCGGGCTTGGTAAGAGGGCTAGCTGGCTAGATGGCTAGGTAGCTATACGGCCAGCTAGCGGGCTAGGTTACTGGCGAGCGGGCAAGCGAGTCCAACAGTTAGTTGGCCAGTTAGCGAGCTAGCTAGCTAGCTAGCCCGTTGGAGAGCTGCCTAACATCATCACTTGTGGCCACAATAATGCATACACACACGCGGCGAGCTGTTGAGCTGGCTAGCTTGTTAGCTAGCAAGTTGGCTAGTTAGCAAGCTAGCCATCTAGCTAGTTCGCGAGCTAGCAAATTGGCTAGCTGCGGGTAGCTACCTCAAAAGCTAGCTAGTTAGCTAGCAGCTAGTGCCGTAAACAAGCGAAATATTTTTTGTTGCGAGGCAAGTGTATGTACAGATCTCCTCGCTGCTGCAATATCCTAATTTTTATTTAATTATTCTTCCTCATTGAATCTTTGAGATATTTTGTTAAGCGCACAAAATATCTAGGGTTTAGGGTCTAGGGTCTAGGGTTTGAGGCGGAAGTCGATGGGCTGTTTGCCCATCTGTTGTAAGAGTTCGTTGCATTTAGCAAAATGCCCACAGCCTGCGTACAAGGAACTTTCTAGCAGCAAATGCAGCAGCAGCAATTGCGGTGACAGCAGCAAGCGTAGCGGCAGCAGCGAAAACAGCAGCAGCAGCAGCAGCAAATGCAGCAGCAGCAGCAGCAGAAGCAGCTTTACCTAGGAAGAAGCGGACAGCAAGAGGGGAGGGATGCCCCGCCTTTAAAAGCTTATGACGAAGGGGAGAAACACCCGACGACTTTTTCTGTGCAGCTTTTCCTAATAATACAATAATTACAAATATAATAAATATAATGCATAAATATAACATCTACAAACCTATATATATATATATA